GCTCTCACGGACTTTTGGTTGACATCAGGGGCAAACGACTTATCGAGGCAAGCACATACGCTTGTATTCCAACCAGAACGATTACTGGCACCCCGCCTTGCCTTCACTACGTAGCCGAAAACGATTTTGCCAAAATTCTGAACGAATTTCCTGATTTAACGCGCCCCACATTCAGCAACCCGACCAACTGCACACGGGGTAAAGCATCATATTGTTACAGAAGGCCCCCCGGTGCACGCAAGGGCTCGAAGATTGCACCCCGATAAGCTAGCCGCGGCAAAGGCAGAGTTTGATAACATGATTGAACTCGGAATCATCCGACCCTCAAATAGCCCCTGGGCGTCTGCGCTTCACATCGTACCTAAACAGGACGGCGGGTGGCGCCCATGTGGAGACTACAGACGTCTCAATGATATGACCGTGCCTGACCGCTACCCAGTCCCAAACATACAAGATTTTACGGCCCGTCTTGCGGGAAGGACAATTTTCTCTAAAGTGGATCTTGTTCGCGGTTATCATCAAATACCTATTCATGAACAAGATATCCCCAAAACTGCCATTATACACACGTTTGGCCTATTTGAATTTCTCCGCATGCCGTTTGGGCTTAAAAACGCCGCCCAGGTATTCCAGCGTTTAATGGATACCATCTGTCGAGGTTTGCCTTTCGTATTTGTCTATCTTGACGACATCCTTATCGCCAGTACGTCTAAAGATCAACACAAAAAGGACTTGCGAAATCTTTTCCAAAGGCTAAAAAGCCACGGTATGGTTATCAATCCTGCCAAATGTAAATTCGGTTTAAGCGAATTAGAGTTCCTGGGACATACTGTTACAAAAGAGGGTGCTTTTCCTCTCCCCAATAAAGTGAAGGCGATAACTAATTTCCCTCGCCCTTCATCTGTAAAAGGCCTTCAAGAGTTTCTTGGCATGGTTAATTTCTATCATCGGTTTTTGCCCAAAGCTGCCCAAATAATGCAACCACTATTCGCAGCACTTTCCGGCCTGCCCAAGAAGTCGAAGGTTTTGCCCGAAGGACTGACAGTATGATATGTGCATTTGAAAAAACTAAGAAAGTACTGGCAAATGCAGTTATGCTTACACATCCACAACCAAACGCACCAACTGCCCTCACAGTCGACGCTTCGGACGTTGCCTTAGGAGGTGTTCTCGAGCAAAAGTTAAATGGATCTTGGAAGCCAATTGCATTTTATAGTAGACAGCTACGCAAACCCGAGACGAAATACAGTGCATTCGACAAGGAACTTTTGACCTCAATTTCATATCTGAATACACAACAGATATACAACATATTTCCGGTAAGGATAATACTGTCGCCGACGCCCTGTCGCGCGCGGTCATCAACGACATAAATGACGGCATCGATTATGAAATTATGGCCACAGATCAACTAAACGACAAGGATACACAAGCTTACCGCACTGCTATCACCGGCCTTCGTGTCGAAGATGTCCTTTTTGCAACGGCAAATTTACATTGCTGTGTGACGTATCTACGGGTAGACCACGACCTATAGTGCCTGCCAGCTGGCGCAGAAAAATTTTTGATGCGGTTCACGGCTCTCGCATCCAGGCATACGTACCACTCGCAAACTGATCTCACAAAATTTGTGTGGCATGGTCTTTCCAAACAAATTGGACAATGGGCAAAACATGCCTGGAATGCCAAAAGTCTAAATAAATCGTCATATACGGGCCCCTTTAGAAGATTTCAAAATGCCAGACAAACGTTTTGACCAATCAACATTGACTTAGTTGTCCTTTACCACCATCACAAGGATACAATTACCTTCTACAATAGTAGATCGTTTCACAAGGTGGCCAAGCCATTCCCCTCAAAGACATATCAACTATGTCTTGTGCCCGAGCTTTCCTGTCAAATTGCGTTGCCCGTTTTGGTGTTCCACTTCACATTTCTTCTGACCGAGGATCACAGTTCATTTCAGGCCTTTGGTCTGCTGTTGCCGAATTATTGGGAACAAAAATTCATCACACTACAGCCTACCACCCACATGCAAATGGTTTGGTAGAACGTTTTCATCGAACAATGAAATCTGCCATCAAGGCACGACTCAATGATTCAAACTGGTTGGACGTGCTTCCATGGGTTTATTGGGAATCCGCACAGCTCCGAAAGAGATCTTACGGCATCGTCAGCTGAGCTTGTTTATGGCGCTCCCCTCACTGTCCCCGGTGATTTCATATCAGACTCTAAAGACAATAGCTGCCCGACCACAAATCTTCGGCTTCTCAGAGAAAGAGTAGGATCATTGGCTCCAATTCCTACGTCGCACCATGGTCCTTTCAGAGCAAGAATGCCAGCCGCACTCAATCAAGCCAAGTTCGTGTTTATTCGTCGTGACGCACACCGATCTCCTTTACAAAGACCTTATGAAGGACCATTCGAAGTTTTGCAACATGGGAATAAAACTTTCAAAGTACAGATTGGAAACCGAAGCGAAAACTATTCTGTTGACAGGTTAAAGCCAGCTCATCTTGATCTCGACCATCCTGTTTCTGTATTCATTCCTAAACCAAGAGGACGTCCTCCAATCCCTAAAAACAACAACGAACAATCAGCGTTCTACAGACGATCGTTCATCCGAACCTACAACCGGTTATGATTACAGAACCAAATTTGGTAGAAAAACTCGTAAACCCACTAGATTTTTATAACTCATTCCGTCTGGGGGGGGGGGGGGGGGGGGGGGGGGGGGGGGGGGGGGGGGGGGGGGGGGGGGGGGGGGGGTAGTGTGGCGAAACCACTTAACATGTGGCCTACCTGGTTGTGCGAATCAAAACATGCTTTTCTGCGGAAATTCGTTCGTTCGCACAAAAATGACGATTTGGTTGAACAAGTGGAACTAAAAAATGTGAATCCCGCATATGCTCGAGTTCGTTTTTTCTGATGGGCGGGAGAGTACGGTATCGTTAAGAGACTTGTCCCCTTGTCCAGTCTCCCAACGATCTTCAAGTCACGATAGAGAGTCTCAAGACTTTCTCCTGAAGATAATGAAACAAGTACTAATGCGTCACCACTAAATGATGGATGCAACGTTGACCGAAATGAAGAGTTCAAAATTGAAATTCCAATTAGCTCTGACAATGCTAATAATGAAAGGATTGCCACACGTCGTTCAACTCGAACTAACATTGGTGTTCCACCAGAACGCTATGGTTTTGAAATATAGACGGGAGAATGTTATGAGAATTAAGTTCAGTTATTCCTGTTGCAGTGTGCTACACTTTGTTTATATTCCGTCATTATTACATTATCGTTCTTTGTGTTGTGATCACTGATTATCGTCAAGCGACAACGGACTGCATTTGCCTTACTGCATTAGTTACGTGCCGTTACGAGTATTAGACGGTAGTCCGATTAAGTTTGGCTATACTTAGTGACTCAATGTAATTATGTTGCATGTTCTTGTGTTTAGGTTAAGATGCGTTTTTAGTTTCTTAAAGCCATAATTTTTGTTATAATAAATAAACTGTCATAACACTAATAATAGCCGTTATGAGTCACAATTGTTTTGTTTATGTTTTTGTCACGCATGATTACTTACGTGCTTTTCTTACGATAACTTGCCATTCTGTTTTCTGTTCGCTTGTCGTTAACATTGCTTTGTTATGGATTAAACATCAACATAATTGAAAGTCTTTTTCTTGTTAGAAAGAAGTTAGTTCGCTTCACGATATATAATGAATGAACGAATACCGAGTTTCATGGGATAATTCAGAATCTTGAAACTTTTTATCTGAAGAAGAATGATCTCGTTTCTGAGGCCTCGCTCGCGTGCCGAATAAATGGGCTCGCCCACCCCTGGCCTAGACCATTCAACAACCCTCAAAGAAAAATATGATGAAATCAAATTTGCACTGGAAAAAAATTCATACAGACAGCACCAATGGATCATATGTGTCGATTTAATCATGGTTGGGTTTCTCCTTTGGCCACAAGGTGGCTACACAAATTTCCCTGCTTCTTGTGTTTGTGGGACAGCAGGGCAAGAACAGAGCATTGAATAAAAAAAAGATTGGCCTGTGCGGAGTGAGTTAATTGCTGGGTTTTTCAATGTTCTGGCTCCCCCTTTTGGTCGAGCGTTCCAAAATTGTGTGTCCTCCTCCTCACATAAAACTTGAGAAAGATGGCGACTGTTTTAAATATATTTGCAGGAAATTTCCAGGTTTTTGGGAAAAACAAAGGCGCCCAACTACAAAGAGCTTGTTGAAACACTACTCACAAGTCTCCGTCAACTGGGTGCAAATATGAGCATCAAGTTACATATTTTGCACAGCCATCTTGCCCGTTTTACAGAAAATCTAGGTGATGTGAGCGATGAGCAAGGGGAGCGTTTCCATCAAGAAATCAGCGACGTGGAAGTTCGCTATCAAGGTCGTTGGGATGCCACCATGCTTGCAGACTACTGTTGGTCTATCAAGCGCGATGATGCCGGGGCCTCCCATTCTGGAAAATCAGTAAAACATAATTTATAGCTGATGACATCTATTAGTTAGCATTTTTTACAACCTCCAGCTTTAATTGTGAATATTTTGGTGAGATTCCATGAATATGTTTAATAAAATTACAGAAACATGTTGTTTCTTTAATTTGCCTATCTTCATTGTAGCTATCGGCATCCTGCAGAGAGGGATATACCATAGCAGAAAAACTAGACCTGATAGAGAAAAAGTAACACAATTTCTGAAATCAGCGCCCTTAAATTTGCTAAAAACGCTTAAAACATCTTAGGCAACATGAGAAATTTTTTTTTGTTGGCTTATAATTATAGTCCATGAATGCTTCTATACGGAATCGCGGAGGGTATCCCAGCTGTCTGCTGAGCATCGGTATACTGATGCGAGACATTCTTATAGTTGAACTTGCTCCTTCCTCGCAGATAGTTTCTTTGTAATTTATCCTAACCCGGGATTTCTATTGTTTTCATTTTTTCACACTGAATAAAATTAGACAAACTGTTATGCTTATCTAATGTTTATCAACACAATATATTTAAGTGCGTCCAGCTAAAACCAAGAAATATAATATGACATGTATAGGAAATGGACCGACGTCCTACATTTCGCTTTCAGCAGTGGCACGTTGGCAAATATAGACAACAATGAAAATAAAATACAATTCTTGCAGGCTTTCAGCAACATTTCGATAATTATGAACAAGCTATCCAGCTAGAGTCCATCTACCCGACTTCCATTTATAAAATGTTGCTTTATAAAAAGAACCATAACAGAGTAAAACACACAATTATCAAAATTTATCTAATATTCACTGCGATAGATGCGCTAAATGTTGGTTGACGTGTGGTAAGACAGGTAGATATTAAATTCTAGCAGATGGAACTCAACAACGTCGTGGTAAGCAAAATTCATATTAAAACGTGTTTATGTTATAGCTATAATTATCGCCGAAAATCTACTTCATATTGCGACGAAAAAATAGTATAAAAAATAAGGCTTTGTTTTTTTAGGCATAGCAAAGAAAGCTAATGCTTATATTAAGAATTAAAAGGAAGAATTGACTTCGAATATCAAATTACTTTGCTCCATATCACCAAGAATCTGAAAGAGAAAATAAAGTGTTTAGTTTTGTATCAATTTTCCGGACGGGCAATTTTAAATATGGGGAATTTCAGGAAAACTAAATTAGTTGGATTGAAAAAATGAAACAGGTTTCTTGTATTCTTTCTTGACCAGCTGATTTAGTCCAAACTTTACCTCCCATACGGCGATGAGTGCTCACCTATCGGCACATGAATAAAAAAAAGTAAAAAGTACTTACTTTTGATTACCACAAAGAGACAGAAGAACAAAACTAGTAGATTCGCTGATTCTCGGATGGTTCCTGAAATATAATATATCTCTAATGACCACGGTAAACTATATGGTAATGAAAATATCTAAATGTAACTTTTAATGAGTTCTGAATTGAATCATATGTGTTTTCTGCTAATCCTATGCACGAATTCAGGCAGTATATTCAAATCCATGAATAAAATTTCTGGATGTTTTGCCCCGCAACATGAAAGAAAATTACTCTGTTTTTCTAAAATATTTTTAATAGCGTTTGTTCTCTATTTAACCAATTGTAATTGAACGACTTACCACAAGTTTCATAATCCGGTTCAGCTGTGCATGCACATCGACATTTGTAATCCGAGTATCCTTTTCCAGCCAAATATCTGACCGTGTAGTTCTGAATAAATATATGTGATATATATATTAAAAGTGTGTTTAAGATGTGAACAGGTAGGTTTGTTTTTTAGTTTTTTTGAAAATTGCTTTTAATGCTAATTTTATTGAGAGCACGCGTAACTTATTTTCCCATAGTAGCATCGTGAATTCACCTGGCCGAAAAGTATGTGCAGTTTCGAGTATTTTGTGGCGTCTAAAGCTATGGCCGCTATGGCCAAACCCATGGCGACTGACTTTTTAGCTGCCACAAACCAATGGTGAGCTGCCGTTGCCACGGCAGCAAATTGAAAATCAAGAGCGGGTAAAATTTTGCTGCCTAACCACGGCAGGTCGGCTGTAATAGCAGGGCTGCCCATAATGGAGAAAAATATTGGGTAAGTTGGAACATTTTTCTTGTGGATACAGTTTTGATGGCTTTGGGGTTAGGTTTCAGGTTTAAGTAGATATAATTCCGCATGAGAAACTAAAATCTGGTACATGACTTTGTGAATATACCGGTAATAGGGCCATAACCACGACAAGAGCTGCCATCGGTTCGTTTGTGGCAGGAGCTGCCATCGGTTCGTTTGTGGCAGGAGCTGCCATGAAGTGGTAAATACTGCGCCTCGGAAAGGAAAAATATTTTCTAACTACTGACACAAACGATTATATAAATATCTAAATGAATAATAAAAAGAATTTTTCCTTTTTATTGCAACTATCAATAGATAAGCAAATAGTATGCCTAACATTTTAACTCAACTTTTTGATAGTATATTAGTTTAAGATGAGTAAATAAAATCAGAATTTATATGATAGCCTACGTGGAATATGGGCGTTTTACCTTTTGACTTTAAACGATTTGTTTATTTTTCGAATACGGTATTTCAGTTTGTTTATTGTTAGGGTGGGTCATCCAAACAAGTTATGGATATTATAATGATAGGATTTTATTCTAAACAGAGTTTGATTAAGATCCTAACATTATATTTTATTATTTGTATCAAATACAATTCGTACAAAAGTGAGAATAAAGAACATACTTTTAAATTTGAAATTATTACATTTTTCAAGTAGCGCCAATCGGAAATCAAAATAAAACAACAAAATTGTGATAGATAGAATTCAATAGTATATTGTAAATAAACCCGGAATAATTTTTGAAACCTTTCACATTCATAAAACAGCAGTATAACCGTGGTATTTGACTTGGTTCCATGGAGGAAGCACTTTTCTTAATAAGTATAAACGAGTCGAACTACTAAATTTCAGCCGTCACATTGTTGCCAAGTAACAACCGTGATTTTTTTCGATTAATGATCAACCTGTCTTGAGTTCTGCCCTAGTGATATGGAGTACGGGCTACGAGATACATAACGTGCAGAATACGAAACTAAAAGTCTGTCATAAAACATGACGTACTGAAGATTACTTAAAGAGATTTTGACTTGGATCACGGTCATATGACAACGAAATTGTTCCAATGGCTTGTGACCTTTTATATTAAAATTAGATTAGATTGATACCACTACAAAAATGAATTCCTAAATATTCATATGAGTTATTTTTTTACACTTTTCACCACTATACAGATGTACAGCCTAGTTTTGTTTAAAAAAAGAGTTTATCGGGTGCACGAGAATATCCACATTTCGAAAAATTTTCAAGTAAAATTTATTGCTATTTTTGGACTGCCGAATTAGAATTTGATATACGGTATATAGCTTATCTATCTAAGTTTCAAGTTCGGTTCGTATACTTGAAAAAAAATAACCCACCTGTGTCTCAGTTAAATCAAAACGGCACTGATTGATACAGTTTTCAGTAAATCCGACCCGTCGCATTGAGTCGACGCATCGTATGGAGTCAAATATGCATCGATTGCTTGTTTCATAAATGCTTTGATGCTTAAACGTTTTTCTTCTGGTATCATCGGATTAGGAATATCCAACAAACTAAAAATCGCAATTGTCTTTATATCAACATAAATGTTTATGGGATCCTAAAAAATCACTTTAAGAGGAAAATAAGACATGTGCACTATGACTTCCTTCGCCACATTTTTATAAATTAGAATACAAAGTAGTCTTGAAGGATATACAATATTTTTTCTTAGAACTCTATAAAGTATTTTGTATTTATTGGTATTCTTCATTTTTCATGTGTTTTCATTTAACGAGTGGTATAACACATTATTGTTATCCAATGGCCATTTTACTGATCAGAATGTTTATTTTATTTATTCGACATTTCCAAAAGAAAAAAGGGGAAATAACTTGAAAATATTTTGATTTCAATGATACAAACTAGAATTACTTGGAAATGGGTTCAAGTTAAAGTCATCAAGACGAGAGATGGAGAATCTGCCACTGTATCAACCCACGCATTCCACGTGTCACCAGTCAAAATGGTTTTTAGATTCGATGCAGTGGATACCGAGCCTCCAATCACTTCTACATCGGAATCCACTACTTTTGTCAGGATGTTTACTAAAACAACAACATATTATCACAATGATACAATGGGAAATAAACTACACTAATTTTATTGATAGCAAGTATCTACAAGAAACAAATATATTGAAAACGCATAAACTGCACTATTTTGTAGTTTTATACTAACTGCAAAAACACATGTAACTTTTGATTATCCCAAAGCATAGGCAAAACTACTAGTTAATATGAGAAACTCACCATTTTTTGTAGAAAGACATTTCGCTGGCACTGAGTATGCTGGGTTTACTTTCGTTCTCATGTTTTCACGGTCGCAGAAAATAAGGTCGGTTGCCCAAGATGAGCTTCTGTATTCAAACTCGTAAGATTCCTCCAACCAACATCTGTTTGATTAACAATTATCGGATTAACAAAGAATATGTCATTGCTCAGATTTAAGAAAAATTATACAACCAGCAGCATTTTTCTGGTTAGTTAGCCGTTTTACCTGTTATATACGTTTGTTTGTACATATTGTCCACCAAGCGTAGCCGAGAGACATAATGAGTTCCAAAATCTCTAATGAACGACATGTATCTTTCATAACTGAAATTTTCAGAAGGCAAATCGAACAAACGTTCGATGAAGGAATTTGTAGTTTCCAAGTGTCTGGCCGCCTTGAGCTTTACCTGCAAAATTACAGTTGATGCTTATTTATTATATCGACACTCAAAATTTTGCGCGCGGATAAGATTACTGAGCAATTGTTGGTCGACAAAAAATGTAGAAAAAGGGTCATAAAATGGCCGTTACTATTACTGCGATTCCTACGGTAGTGGTAGGCATCGTCAGGCGCTTTAGTCTAATTCATTGTACTATTGGTGATTTTATCATGCGTTTGATTGATTCAATCACATGACGCGTATTCATTAGTCATGAACAATTCAACGGTATTTGCGGCATTCGTTTCTTCACAGCCTTCGATGGTGTTATTTGTGCCCCAACTTCGCGATAGTATACCAGTTATTCATGGAGTGTTAGTCGGGCGTGTGTTTGTTGGATACCTAATCTATACTAAATCCCGTCTGTGTGAAAGTGAGCATACTTGATTACCTTATTTATTAGATAAGCACTTAGATTAGCCTAGCACTAATTAATTAATGAGCGACAATACTGTAACTATAAACAGTAGACATGTCCGTGATAGATTGATAGATATTTTTGGGATTCTATTTGTTATGCCATTCAAAATCTCGTGAATACTGTTCAATAATTACTGGTTCTGGTAAATAATTATCTGTTCACATTTCTACAACTAATGAAAATCTATATCTATATTTTTTGAGATAATACTAATAAAAATAACATTTTTGTCTCGAAGTAGGAGTGGATAATTATACACGTATGTTTAATTTTGCTCGAATAGAATATGGTTACAAGTATTGAACTCACACTGAAAATTTTGACTTTCATCGAGAAGTAACAACTGTGAATTTATTTTGTTGTTCAATACTGTCAACAACGTAACTCATAAATCTCTGAGATTGAGAATATCCAACGTTGCCATCAATGTCACTTAATATTCCTCCAAAGCTTGAATCTTCTTTTAAAAGTTTTTTTGTTGCGTTGATCAATTCGGCTCCGCTTTGCGCCAACTACAAAAATATACTGTTTGATATGAGATAAGTAGCTTAAATACAATTTTCTGGCTTGGTGGATTATGTACCAAAACTTTAGATAAGTGGGATTTCGCCCTTTGGTGAAATATCCATCTTCGTCTTTGATAAAGTTTAGCCAGAAATAAGTTTAGATTTTTTTCAACGAGGCTTTATGGCAATTACCTTTAACCTACCCAAAGATTAAAACACAATCAAATTTGAAAGTTGTGGCTTACTAACAGCATGGGGCACAACTGCGTACACGTTTTAAATGATATATGATTTTTTAATCTAGGAAAATGGTCCACTCATACATATTTGTAGCAATTGCGCGATTAAAATGTATTTATGAAAAAAACTTTGTGAAGTTTTGATATTTTACATAAAATAAAACTTACGGAACCAGGCAACTCCACCACACTAAAATGTTGCAACAACGAATTGACGTTACTTGGCAACCTGTAGTAATAATCAGATTCCCCGGATTTGAGAACACGCCTACATGAACCGTATGGCATCATAGACAGCACACTTGAACGAAACTTGCCTATTGAATTTTATTCAATATGTAAAAAATGTAAAAAGGGCCCACTATTCAGACACTCCATAATACACAATATTTGAATATATACAAAGATTACAGTAATTTGGTTAATGTATAGAAAAATGAATTAAGCATGACATAAAACAAATTTTTATATATAAAAAATTTCGTGAGCATATTAATCTTTAAAAAATTAATGGATTTGGTATATGTTACCAAAAACGGACGCACTACCTGCAATGTACGATCAATTTTAGGAAACTTTTCATTTTGTTATTGATCAGTACTTTCGAGCTAGCTAAATGAAGTTCCCGAGTTTAGATTTGGTAGATTTTTGACTGAACAATAATTGTTGTTTTCCGTTTTTGGACAATATTTTACGTGTGTACGTACGTCGCAAACGGAAGGCTCCCAAGAAAAGACTCGTATGAGAACGTATCACGTACATTGAAACTAAATTTAAATTCCCTTTTGGAATCAGTAGATTTTTAGAAAAAGATTAAAATTTAAAATATCAATAATACTTCAGGCTAACAAAAACTGGTTATGGACCAATTACTTAGTTTATATATTTATATATATACCTGTCAGCATGTCATAACCAGCTGAAAACTTTTCGATTCCTGGTATTCCAAGAAAGTAACGATCTGATTTTGGCGGCGTATTACTGGTAGTAGTGGTTACGGGAATTCCACAAATGAAGGTGCCCTAAAAATATTTTCAATTTGACGTTATAGTAATTTAGAATCCTTACATTGACTCATGCTAAAAAAATTCTTACGAAGTTTGAGCAATTTTGCGCTTTGTACAATGGATATTCATCGGATGCATCTCCGCAATCGTCATCCCCGTTACATGTTAAATCGGCCTGAATACATCGACCGTTGCCACATCGGAACCAACCATCATCGGGGCAATCTGTATAACAGTGTAAACCTGTTAGCAATATTCATATCTTGACCGCATAGATCCATTCAATGAAATGCAGTTGATTGATACAGACTTACGTCTCAGAAGAATTGGATTTCTAGTTCTATTTTTATCGTACTTTCTCCTCTTCAGCTAAATTATATTACTGATCGTTGCCATGAAAATTATTTTAGTACACGATTTTGAATCTCTTGAAAACTTGAGAAATTTCAACTCAAGGCTTTTTTTTATAGTGACTAAAATGACAGAGAAGAGAAAAATAATTGATAAGTTTCAACGAAAGCCTCTAAGGACCTTGTTAAAGTGTTTAGCATTATATATTGACTGCCTGTGTACTTACCAGCATTGATGAATTTGGTTAAGGTTTCATCTTTCGATGTGCAGATATTTGATTGAATTTCGTTTACATAATTATTGCAAGTTAAACCATCTTGAGTTCCGGGAGACAGCGTTACCATGCGATCCTTCAATAAACATTTTTTTTTACTGTTAGGTTTATGCCCTCTTAAGTTTTATATCGTTTTATTTTAATTCAATTAAATATATGTATATTCGGTGCTAGCCCAGTTTAGCTTGTAACTACAATCCATGTCATGCTGATTCGACATTAGTAAAGCATACTGCCAATTTTTATAGATATAATTCAAAATTTATCCCTAAAAGGTAGATTTCTCAATGTATTCAGAGAACCAAAAGTACATGATATCGAACACAATGAAGGAAGAACACTGGATTAGATATTGAACAAATTTAAAACTATCCTTTAAATTCTATAAGTAATGTTCTGAAACAACCTAAGGTAATGACAAAAACCGTGGAAAATGTTAGTTGGCAAAAAGCAGTCGTACTCTTAATCTTTTAATTTTAGGATCACATTTTTTTTGGAGATCATCGACCTAGCGTTCCTGCAGCGTCGTTGCAGTCGGTCTCCACTGAAACCCCACAATTTGATTTAAGCTGCATGAATCCTTTGTGAATATAGTGGTGGTATGCGAACAGATATGTGCTTTATTTAGATAGTTCTGAAATTTTCATTTGTTTTTATATTTTCGTCAAAATATATTATATGTAAATGGAATTTTGAATATGATAATAATTATAAAATTCATATATTGTAGTGATCGCATATTTTTCTGAATAAACTTACTCAAATATTAAAATTTACCTTCCACATATATCCATTCACTTCATCGAGGAAACAAGCACTCCAAGGAGACCATGTTGCAGTACAATTCACTTTTAAAGGATATGAAATGGTGAAATATTTATTAGAAGGTTGCATTGATTTTTAATCAACAATTAACTTGTTCAAATCAACAATTAATTCATGGGTGTAAGATTAGATATATTCTTGTTTAAAACCTATAACCTACAATTTTTTTTAAAATATTCAATTAAAAGAAATACTGAAAAACTCTTGATAAACATTGTAGAATTTATTTACCCCGATGTTGTAGAAAATTGATTTGTACTTACATATTTCACCCGTGGATTTCTGGATTCCACCTGTACAAATAATAAAGATATTTAGAATTTTGATATTTTATTTAATATGAATATTGTGAATTCTTGTGATAATTTCGAACTTACCGATTGCAATTGTTAGTATGATGAAAATGAGGTTGATTTTCTAAAAAAAAAATATATTTATCAGCATGTAAATTATTCCATATTTCAACGCCCACTAAATCCCATTAAAATTGAATCATTATATTTCAGTTCCATAAATAAGAAACTAAACAATAAACTCCTTTTGGCAAAGTTTCCTGAAGAAAAAGGGGTAAAGAAAAGTATCTCAATGTCACATTTCATATGACTAATTTGAAAACGTACAACATCTAAATTCTAAACCTACAATAGATTGCCAAAGAAATTTCTCGTACGATGAACATTCGAACTTGCAAGCCACCCACCCATATTTTAGTAATATAATAATATGCCCAGAATAGTAATATTCGATTTATTAGTATATGCGTCCTTTGAGCAAACTTACTGTAAAAAAGATGAAAAATATGTCCTGGATATATATTTTTGAATAGAATCCTCGCGTATTTTACTCCTCCCACATATTTAAAGGTCATATATATAGTAGGGTGTCCCAAAATGAATGAAACCCACACAATTGGTAATGGAATTGATGGGTTTCATTTATTTTTGGACACCCTGCATTCAATACAAGAGGCATTTTAGCCTCAGTTTTATATCAGCCACGAATTAATTAATCCAACTTTCGTATCATGGGAATCTGAATGTAGTTATTTGTTTGGGCATGTTCATGCCGCCCTGGTTATTGTCTGTATTGACACACAAGCACTTAGTTTCACTTTGTCTCCGAGTATCTCCAAGTAACTTCGCACGTTCCAGATCTAGACCCTATCGAATACAGCAAATATACTCAGTCGCGTTGACAAATAAGTGTGGGCTAGGAACCAGAACAACTCTGATTTGCGCAATATATTATATCATTATGTATGTTTATCATTGACGTTAGCCAATGCTAGGTGTGAGGATCATTGTTTTACTTAGTTTATGCTTGGTACAAACTATGAAAGATTGGTATTGTTGGGCAACGGGTTTTCTATGACGTATATTGAAAAGTTCTGCACAACGTAAAACTTATATCTCTAAATTCAATCCAAAGTCATTTCAATTTGTTGTGTGATCAAAACATCGGCATCAATCACAAAAATTCAATTTCAAACACGATGAAAGTACGATCAACAATTCATTTCTTTCAACGATACCCTACCAAAACACAAATAGTAAAAATTTCGGTGCTCCCGAAGTATGTGAACCAAGATGGCGGATACCGGAATGTAGTATGTGTACCAGGTATGGGTTAGCCGATAATTTCAGGTACAAATACTACGGGAGTCACTTGGCTATTCCCCGAACTCGTAATAGAACTAAAATAAGGAAAATTGGAATAAAATTATGGCCTGTGACCTGGTACAAATACTACGTGTCTAAACAGGTGTCCGCCATCTTGGTTTACATACTCCAGGAGTACCAAAATTTCTATAGTCAGTCTTACGAATGTTGAGTTGTCAATATAAATCGAATAGAATTAGACAAGAGCTGATTATATGAATTCGATATATTTATTGTGTTGTATAATGTAAGGAATACTCATTGAGATGCAAATTGGATACACATTGACAAATTAATTGTTTTAGAAACATCAGCTATAGTCAAGGATTTCAGGATTAAGTTAGTCGCAATATTACCGAGTGTATGACAAGTGATGGACTATCGTAATTTACCCTTTTATGTGAGTTTATGTACTGAATATTGATACATACGCTATACATACCTTCATTTTCATTTGGTATCCTGATAGAGACTCCAATATCCTTATAGAAGCACCAACTTAACGTAAATGTTATTTTCAAAATCAAGCTATTATACTAAAACAAAAACTAAACCATTTCAGATAATAAATTCTAAACTAACAAATTTCTCGAATTGTTATTACGCCCTACGAATACAGAAAAATATTCAAAACTTATGTTACAGATCACCCGTTAAGTATACAACAATATCTGTCTGTGAGAATGCCTCCTCATGCTATCCTGTAAATGTTTTACCTGTTGGCAAACAATACGTTGTTTTCTGAATTACGTCATGATAAGGCCTAAACGATTTTCCAAAATCGACGTTGACACAATATAGTTGCGCAACGACTTTTTGAAAATATGAAATGTTTTGTTTTTCCTATAACTTGGATAGATTGTTCAACTTATCTTATACTAGCGTATTAACCAGCCGTTTGTAATTACGATTTTTGAAACAGGAAATATGTCAAATTCCCATTAACATGTAGGTGCTAGTTGACTACTTAGTTGAACTTTATGTTAAATGAGAAAAGCTGTTCGAACTAAACCATTTCTCAATGTAATTAATTTCTATATGTAAATAGACGACTCGATCGATGTTGTAGCTTTAGAGCCCACTAATGTTTCAGCATCTTTTATCTAATATACCCTATTTTAAGTCTTTGCTCCCCCACATCCCTTGTGTTTGGAAGAGAGATGATTGATTGGACTCATTCGGAGAAATTATTAGTAATGTGCTACGGACATCTATTTTACGCTAACCGCTCGATTGTGTGCTTCAAAATCGCAGATTGGCCTGGGACTGGTATTAGCGAGTTCACTCTTCTGTAGAGGATCCAGCTGAAACCTCATTCTGCGCTGGGGGGATGTGCCCCGGCGTTATAGGAACTAAATAAATCTTCAAATTTGTATTTTGTGCTCCGCACATCAGCTATTCCTTTTTTATTTAATTGCTTTTAAAATTATGCTATCATGGGAAGACGATGTGGAATTATTCACCACAGTATTTTCTTACAACTGCAGTCTTCAAATTCTTCAAATCTCACTGACTTTTCTCTAAATTTTCCAATCGTACTGAGTTTAATGATGTTTTAAATTGATTTATATCAAGTTTTATTAACACGTCGTTTCGATTTTCTTCACAATCACCAAACTTGACTTCTGGACTGCTTCAGTATATGTTTTGGTGCTACAAAAACGTTCTTCAGAACTTTCACGATTTTATCAAGACAAAAAATGTTCGCTGAATCATTTTCTCCGAACTGCTGGAAATGCTTCACCGTTGTTCCTACTTAATGTGGCATAGTCGCGTATCCCGGATCCCCTTAGTAGTCCCATACCAATCAATAATGAAGTATTTGAATGATGTATTTATCAGTAGAGTTATTTCTGGCCACCACAAATCACATGGTCGTTTAACTGATAAACAACATGGTTTTCATCAAAATATTTCTATCGCAAAATACCAACATCCATATCCGAAAGAATATTCAGCGTATAGAACCATTCCAGTAAAGCACAGTCAATTGCTATGAATATTATGAAGACTTTTAATAGAGTTTTGCACACTGATGCACAAAACTTTTGCGACTGTGAAAAATATTTCCTTTGTCGTTATTGATGTCAAGCGTTCACGAACCTACTCATTTTCTACTAGAGTCAATCTGAACCCATTTCTGCGGATGACACGACGCAATTTTTTATTTTTGTCCAGAAGTAATGTCCGATAACACCATTTGGAACATACTGAAGCTATGAAACCGGGCATACATCGCGTCTGAGTTGGACAATTAACGCTAATTCCTAAACTGGACTCGATAAAACCAAAAGTCTTCTCGGTCAATCATTATATCAATGCCTATACACCCCCAACCTCCAAGTCGGAAAAACATGAACGAATCATCTAAATTTCGTCTGGTTGGACTAACAACTCTAAATATCCGACTTGGAATAAATATATAATGACCGTGACTGCAAAGTGAAAACGCGTGATTAAAAGTTGATTCATTTTAATTCTTTGTGCTTGAGTGCAAACTATAGCTAGACCGAACTCAAATATGATACCAAATATATATTATTGGTATTAGCTCTTTCCGAACTGCAAACCAATGCCAATCAGACTAAATATTGCTCTGCTTGATATATTTCATAATATTTTAATATACTTTCAACCATTCTTAGGGTTGTAATCTGTTTACTGTCAGTGTACCTTCTAGAAATGAGAAAAAAAATCAAATTATGCATACCGCAACGCATACTTGCTCTAATTTGAAACTGGCTGTATGGTAAATTGCAGTATTCTCGTGTTTGCAAAATATTTTTCACTCGTTCCACGTCTTATCATACAGCTCAACGCAATAGCAGAGCGCCGAAAAATATCATGAAATTATGTTGTTAGTTAGTTAGGGCACACTCGAAGGTTGCAAACACAAACATTCGATACTTCTGAATCTGATGTGTTCATGAATCATATACACTGATAATTCTAAACATTAAAATTTCATATCTGCTACGTAACAACATGAAATTGGTCTTCACAAAGTACAACAACATCTAGTTATTCCATAAAGAAAATATTTGCATGCTACATCATTTATTTTCATACTCGAGAATCTAACATACTGAAAATGTCGACAAAATGACCTCTGAATAAAGAACAAAAATAAACAGTAAAGGATGGAATAAAAAAGGTTAAGGCCTGTTCGAATATCACATTCTATGCATAATAAATGTACCTCGAATGTTGTTGACAACTAGGTAATTAATAAGGTTTATTGTATTGTCCTGAGAGGATGGGAATCGTTGAAATTCGGATACTTGTTTCCAAACTGAAATATTCAAAAAAAAATTTTTGAGGTCGCAATGCAATCGACTGCTATGTTTTGGGTACGATTTTGGTGCAATTTTATTCATTTGTTTATAGTATATGCGCAGGTATGAATCGTAAAAATATTTCGCATTGAAATGACACATTTATGAACCTCACACATTTTAAATGTTAATTGAACAATAATGCTAAAAGTATTTGATGTTTAAGGATGTTAGATGATGTCGTTTTCAGCAATTGTACTTCACTTTGACATACGCCATCTCACTGCCAGTGGCGTCTTTGTTTATTGACGAATCCGGTAAAATATACATCTTGTGACTATGTGTGACATTCTCTTGTACATATGGTGATAAATTTGAATCCGAATTAGTCTTTTCCAATGACGTAGACCGGTGACTGTACTTGGCAGGCGGAAATGAACATTTTTTGTAGTGGAAATCTTCCAATCTGTTGGACTTTGGTGAATTTTCGTAAGAGAAAACTTCAGAACAATTCATATCATCCGGAGATAAAGGTGGGGACAACGAAAAGCATTCATCTGAGACAGAAAAACTGCCCATGTGGTATCCGGAATCAGCTGAAACTGTTCTGCCACGGATTGGTGATAAGGTGCTAGATCCGGAACTGCACGAGTGCCGCCTGTGGCTTGATCTTGTCTTCACATATGTAATATTTTCTTTGATATATTTATGTGTTGTCAGCGGTTGCAGGATTCCGTCGCAGGTTTCCTCAAATAATTTACTTTCTTTACTTCGGTGCATGTCGTGGATTCGCATTTTGAAATGTCTTCTTTGGTGAAGTGATTTTGTTTTTGAAATCGTATTTTTCGACGTAGCTATATTTGTATTCTGCTTTGCGAAATTTTTGAGTGGACTTGCGTTTTTCGCGTTGAAATTTCCGTAAGAATGGATGTTATCGATTACCTGCTGCGGTTGGACGTTATCAATAAAATCGAAGGTTGATGGTTTTGAGCTATACGTCGGGTTAGTGACAGATACCATGTCTTCTTTTATGTATTGACTTTCATCATCCATGCTTTGGATTGAAACAGATTGTTTAGTTCCAGGGGCAGAATAAGTGTCCATGTCGGGGTGTGAATTTGACCGTTTTAGCTTCTCTGGGTCAAAACCAGGAACAAACAGTTGATTCAGCGGATTCATTAGTGTTTTCTGACGAGATAACATAGCTTCACTCACTGTGGTATACAATCTGCCGTCACTATTTTTTACTTCGTAGTCATATGTATCGCAATAAACGAAGCGCACTTTTGCATACTCTGGGATTACACTGCTGTCAGAAAAGTAACTGTCAATGCGGTTTGATGACTGATATTTTTTCGAACGCTCAACAAAATATTTGTCAATACAATTGGAAGGCAATGTATCAAAGAATGCATGGTATAAGTTAGACTCTGAGTGGCATTTTGTAGTTAGATTACCAACTTTCTCACGCATAAAATGCGCATCATTGTTTTTACCGTCAGGCATTTCAACGGGCGTGCTGGATTCAAACTGATCTTCATGCTCTTCAAAGAATTGTAAGCTTGTGGAGTCGCTTGTGGAAACGGGTTCTTCTAAGGTGCAAATATACGGAATTGATTCAATATCTGAAGATCCAGAACCATCTACATGTGTAATTTCTAGGTAATTGGCATTGACTGTTTTGCTGCGTTTGGGCTTTTGGGTTTCTGAAAAAGATAAAGTAAACATATATTCTAAAATGCAACAAAGCCGCATCTTACTGCACTGGTTATGCGCATTGCACAAGTTGCAATCATCCTGGTATTGCAGCATAGAAACCAACAACGCACCTGCTAAATTGGATGATTTCAGAATTTCCGGCGAAAGCAGATGAACAATTTCCCTCGAATCCAATACAAATGGATGCTGTTTTGTTGAAACATCGTTATCTGCCTCTTCTTCCGATATAGCTAGTACTATGTGATCGAACTCATCTATTTTTTCAGTATGTGGCGAAGAAGAATTTAATGTAATATTTTCAGGTGACCCCATCATCAAATTAGCCTGAAAAATAAAAATTGTGTTATGAGCTGAGAGCTGTCATTTGAAATCATTTGCTTAAATGCTGGGATAATGAATGAATAAAGCAAACATCAGTCCATTAATATATCGATAACGTTACAGATCTAATGAAAAATTGCAACCAGTGATCAAAATCAACTCAAATATTAACTACATATTGCAGTTGCTCGCAAGTTTTAATTCTGCTATTTGCACAAATGATACACAAATATTCGGTTTACGATCAGCATGATTCAAATTTTATCAACAAGTCGATTACGCATTGCTGTAAATATTACAAGTCATCAGCAATGAATGATCCATTGAGACAAACAATACAGTGTTATAGATTATAGAATACTATATATATAATTGTTTGTTAGCACACAAATGAAAACCAATATAATTAAGGTGTGCATTAGCATTATTATGCGAGGACAATACTCCATAAACAACATTTTGTAATAGGAATTACCAAATCGTTTGGAACATCGAATTTTGATGGATATACTTTTTTGTAGACCCTGTTGAGCTTGACAAATAACAGAATAAGCGCGAGTAACATCGCAGCACATCCTCCAGTTACAATAGCTGTTAAAGCGACTTGGCTCAATATGGGATCATCTGAAACAAGACAATTGGTTTTATTCATGAATTCTTGAAATATAATCAGTAGTGATAGATGAAAAATAATTTTTACGTGTGAGGCATAACACAAATGTGCATTTCGTGGTTCTATCCCTTGCATAAATATAGTTATGTTATGGTAAGCAACGACCGTACTTCTGTTATAAATGATGCAATCCAGTTTCCATTCGCTATCATACGATTTGACTTTGTGAACGGTCCTCATTTGAACACAAAGTTCTGTTTCAGACTTCGGTTCTTCAAAAAGACGCAGTGAAATGGATTCCATATCAAAACTTGCTGGGGATTCCTAATCATTAATAAAAAAGGAAATATAAAAGTAGATTTCATATTTGGTACATTAATGAGTGTTATGATACCAAGAAGTGTATAAAATGAATATAAAGCGTCCAAATACACCACTGCTGTAGTTCTATGTACACTCCCAGACCTACCACCAGCTACAGCAGATGAGAAATTATATCATTGTTCAAAGTTCCCACTAAAAGGTTTAACAATTTGTACCTGGACCCGTTGGCTTGAGTCGTTTGTTCCCCAATATTTTATTTCGTAATTGAGATTGTTGTCATAATAAAAGTTGAGTGATTTGTTTGAATTTTCGTCAATTACCGGATTATTAATTAATCGCAACTGTGTGGAATCAAACACGCCGTCTATCTTAAAATCCGGAGGCAGCAAGGTATCTGTGATAATATAAAGTATTCAATTCAATATATTTCTTATTCAAATTTTAAAATGACGACAAAAAATTATACTGGTAAGAAATGAATGTTGATTTTATTTTTAACAATACACAAACCTCTCTCATAAACAAAACATTTTTGTTTCGGCTGACTCCGAACTCCCATTCTTACTTTGTGCACTATCGTCATTTCTACACATAATTCAGTATCCGAGCGGGGTTCTTCAAAAAGTCGCAAGGAAATGAACTCCATGCCAAAACTTGCTGAAGCTTCCTAATAAAGTTTAAATACAAGCATAGAAAAATACCACTTTTTACACAGTTTTATCAAGCAAATTTCTTAAGAAAATTATGGTGCATTATACAAAATTATAGATTTTAGTTATAATTTCCTTTTTTGTGATAATGTTAAATCCAAAATATACTAACCTGTAATTTTTGAGTTGTGTCGTTTGTCCCCCAATACTTAATGCTGTATTCAAGTTTATTGTCATGGTAACAATTCAAGGATTTGTTCAGATATTCAACTAGTATCGGATGGTTAATAATTCTCATCTGAGTTGAACGAAAAATTCCTTCAATATCAAAATTTGGGGGCGAAAGTTGATCTAAAAATCAATATGTTTTTTCAATACTGCGAACTCTAAAAATAACGTTGTTATAACAATCTTGATGTAATATATTCAGTAAAATAAACGAAATGATATCGCAAAGCCAATATGTAAATTTCTCTTCAGCTTAAACCTCAACATATAAAATAAAAAATTTTAAATCATTTTACCGTCTTCCGGAATTTTGAGATCTTTTTCAGCTTCCATCCACTTACTACATTCTTTACTTCCTTGTAGCATCAGACATGCTCGCACGCGGCCCCTAAATTCTCCAAAGTAGTTTAGTTCTGGACAACCCTCATCGTATTCATGTATACCAGATCCAACTTCACAATATTTTTCAGAGGTTCCGTTGCATGTTGGTTCTCTCATCCAACCATCATAGAAAATGCTGTTAATGTGATAACAATGATCATTTCCTCAGAATCTCCAAAAATACCCAAACGCATATTTTGTTTGCTATATACATAAAATCACGCTTTTTTAAATCAGTTTTTGAATTGAGAAGATAACTTTATGAATTACTTACTTCTTAATTTCGACGTCAAAACGAATGCTTCGATTCACAAACACATTATTGTAGTCCCATCTCAATATGTGATTAACATTGACAGAAGAAAATTTTGGTGATATTGGCATTGGTATTCCTGAACACAAAAGCATTTCTGTCTCGTATTAAATTGTATGTTGTGCAAGTATTTAAAAATCCCCCAGGAAAACGATCTCAATCAAATATTGCAACATTCTGTTCGAAACCGTTTAGACGGCGATTATTATTAATTGGCAGTCAAATATATGGAGGCTCACAACGTACGTTATATTGAAAGCATCCTGCGTTTGAACGAAAAACATTTCCTCTTTCGGTGTTCATTCTAATCTTTCATCGACCGTATATGTTAGGTAATATGCCATTCCATTTTATTCAAGATAGTTATTGGTGTTATTGAAATGCTTACGTAATATTCGTATAATCGTGCCAGAATATTTTTTATGTCCGAAAATATTTGAACCAAGAATATAAGTGAAGTGCAAGAAATTATATTTTTACAATAGGTATGTGCAATATTGCGAAATGTTATTCTCTAAATCAGATCAAGCAAATATGTGCAAACTATTCAAATTGGTCAACCAAGTATGGGCCTATTTCAGTACGCCTTTAAAAATATTTTTCATTCTTTTCTTGTAGCTATTTTTTAGGCGATCTACTAATTATAATTTTCAATCCATCTATTCAAACTGCTTTTAAATGTTTTTGGCGACATGATTTTATTTTAAACCACTTCAAACTGTTTTAGTTCCGGGATTTCAACAGTCAGTTTTAGCCAATTATTCTTAGTACAGTAAGCCAGAGAAACTTGAAATACGATACTTATATTATGGGCTAAAAACAATATTTTTGATTGACAAATTGCTTCTTATGCAACTATACCAATCATAGATAATTGACTTAACTTTACAGAGCCGAATATGGGCCGTTAAGGAAACGTGACCTTAGCGTGCGCCACATGTATCCCCCACATACGGCAGTTTATATGCACACACCAGTAAACTTTGCTATGTACTTTGCATTTAATTTCCTCGTTTCCCCAGAACTGCCTTCACGAAACATCACTTGGCCATGGTTTTTCATCAGTGATTTTAATTATTTACATGACATCTTTCAATCGACTCGTTTTTCCATGTCATATTTTGATGTAAACATTTTCATTTTTATGAGTAGTATTTTGGTTTTATAATCATCTTAAAATATTATATACAGTTGAATTTTACTAATATTCTTTAGTTTTTTCCACCTAAATTTAGTTCCCGTGATTTTTCATAAATTATGAATAATTGCTCCACGAAATCAACAAGAGTGAAATAAATCAAAATGTTTAAATCTTCCCAATATAACGTAATCCGTGCATGACTTTTATTCTAATCAATGAGGCTCTACAAATAATACATTGTGTATTTGCCGCTGTTGAAAATTAATTATAAGTTTGTATCAATCCTTAAAATGATTCTGACATATGATATGACGTCCCTTCTATTGTATATCTTTTCCTATGCATCGCAATCCCTATTATCATGTCCGTTATCTACTATTTCTAAGACATCCGATACCGCGTGTTCGTTGAAATGTTATTAGCTGTACTATAAATTGAACAATTGAATACATCTTGAAGAATATTAAAGGTTTTCCTCTTTATATAGCTATTATGTATCACTGAAGTTAATTAATCAAACGGTTGTCTATGTCGGCTTTTACAGTGTTCATATTATCCGAGGAAAATATTAATATATTTTCATTGTATATATGTATATTGTAAATGAATGTTTGAACGCTGTTGTGTAATAATTTAATTTATGTTTTGGTTGTAACTATTAAAAAAATAAACGGAACTCTGAAAAAAGATATATCGCATTAAACAAAGCGTGAATGATTTTAAGAGAGATGTGTTCGATGTCCATTCTCACATATGAATTTAAACTATTTCTACAAATAAAACGGGTCTAAATAACTTTTGCTATGCAGTGACGTGAAACTACAACAATGATATTTGATCTTAACCCAATGTGATTTTTCAATATATTTACTAAACAATCTGAGCGAATATGTTTATTGTATGTTGTATGTTTATATTATGGGAGTATTGAAATTATAAACAATCCTAAATATTTCTAAAGTTAGGTCAAATATTGAAAGCGACATTCTACGCCCGGATTATCAGGCGCACGTTTTTAGTTTTGACAATTGAAAGTCTTTCCTATTCATAGCCAAAGTCTGCAACTTTTACTGCAACCAGTTGAATTTTGCAACATAAAGTAGAGAATACAATAACTAATGTGTAACGAATTAAGCATGTTAATAAAATACTAAAAACGAAAATATGTTTGTTGAAGAATTATTAAAACCAAATTCCCCATAACTCCTTGCACCCTTGTCGTGGTAATAACGCACTAAAAGCAGAAAAAAAATGATTGGCAGAATTTCTTTGTTTTATGTATAACTCAACATACGGTTATATCTAGGTTTGCAGCAATATGTGCAAATATATATCCGTTTACCTGCAATACATTGTATACTCGGAAGATATATTCTTGAAGACAATACCTCATCTTTGTGAACGGCTGGCGCTGCAGCGGCGACATTACCAAAAACCGGGTCAGCGTTTTCAAGAAGGAATCACATACGCACAAGGTAAAAATGCGAGCAGATATCAATATTTCCGCTTAGGATCGCATACCATTGTTTCCCACCCTAATTACCAACTTATTGCGCCGTTTAAATGGAATAATATTATTTGGAATAGATACCTTTAATGTTAAATCACCTGCTAGTTAATTAAGTCAAATAAATGCGCAAGAGGATATTTGCAAGATGGTGTTAGATTTACCATGAACTCCCGACCAACGCCACAGAAAAATAGAGGAAACGGAACCATGCCGTAAAGTCCTGAATTTACCGAAATAAAGGAACTTCAAGAAAATTCAAAGAAAACAATTCAATAACAAAGGATGTTATAACGAGTAGAAATATTGATAAATCCCGAAATTATATTCCATGCAATATTTTGACCGCATTGCAGTTTCAAACAGATAAATTAAAAAAAAGGTGTTTTCGTAATCAATTGCACTGATTTCATTTTATTGCTGCATGAAAATCAAATAAATTGATTTATTTGCCAGCCGTATTCAGTTATTGGCACAGGAACTAAAGTTACTTATAAAACGTCTTATACATAGGCATACACACTTCATATATCTAAATTTATATATAAATTAGATGACTCTACGAGTTTCATCGAGCAAAAAAGCCAATAATCGTCACTGTTAATAAATATCACTATATCCTAGAAAATTATCAGAATATCTCAATTCATATTGTTTAAGGTGAAATAATTCACGTGTATATTATGTATACTAGCGTGGTAAAACGGGGAAAAATATATGTTTAAACAATTAAAAGGGACTCCAAATCCTATTTTAAACTTTTGTGTTCAAAATATAGCTATTAATTTTAATTAAAAAAACCTAACAAGTCAAATATTTTTTGATTGACCGAGTGTAAAAAATGACCAAATATTGGAATTACAGATTCAAGTATATAAAGCGATTGATATTCACTAAACATAAACGTATAGGAAACGAACCTTCGTTTATCGTCACTTCCTGCAGCCCGTTGCCAGTTCTCATCTTTGTCATCCACGTTATTATCATCATCGCCAACACAGTCCAACAATTCATACTTTATTCTTCTATTTAGCTAGTAAATTGCATTTACTGCTGAAAGAAACATTTTGTATTTTGAATTATCTGATGTCTTTATAGTTTACTAAATCGTGCTAAATTTGTTAAACACCTCACAATTCCACAACGGGTCATCTCAACTCTTTTTTATGTAATGAATGGTGCTAGAATGATTTGAGAGGTTGCTAAGTATATATATTTTTTAACACGAGATCAAAATTAAATGTTGTTTATCCATTCTATTGCATTATTTTTTAAAGTGGCGATCTCAAGGTGACAAATATTTGCGTTTGCTGGAATGTGCTTTTGCATGCTCAAACAATAATATGTTACTTTTCATTTTTTTCTTATAATCTGCCTGAATAAGGTAACCCCTAACTGCTGAACTGACTCTGCAGGGAAATTAGACTTCATTATTGCATTGCATTTCTAAATTACTAATGCCGAAAACGACACGAGTGCACCGCTGCGTGTTTCTCAACTAGTTTCCTGCGTTTAGTTCTAAAAGGACCCGAACAGGAAATGGTGCCGTTTGGAACCAATCATATCGGGTTCGGTACTTTAATGCAACGGTTAATTGGATAGCTCCCATTCAGTACAATAATATTAAACAACAACTGATTGAGAAATACATTTCAAACTTTAGTATGTTAAAAAGAATATTTGTTTTTATAGTTGGAGAAAGAGTTGAAAAATCAAATGTGTTTCGATTCTTTTAGGGCGCATTAGTATTTGGTATATTTTCAAAAAACAAATATTTGTTAGCGAATTTATCGAACATATAGGTAACTCAATTTCTGAATATAACACTCTTTTCAGTACAACGTTCCCGTGTTATCTGCAGTGGCAAATGACGCATTCTTAGCTTTATAAACCGCCGCTACGTCATTGCTTCGTATTTTCCAAGCATTGAAGCTCGATTCGTAGAAAGGAAAGATGCCGAGTTGTTTTGTGTTTTATTTTCAACGTTGTAACATGGAATCATTAGGATATATAGAATTATTGAAATTGGACTATATTATCAAGGTGGTATGTTTATACAACTTAGTTGAGTCTTTCACGAAAAAGGGTATTCTGACTGGGGTGAAAGTGTGTGTGTGTGAATCTTACTAGTATAATAAAGGAATGAGCTCTCGGGTGCCACGGAAAAATACAGTAATGAAAGTTTACGCTGAGAATCGACAAAAACTTCTAGTATTACAGTAAAGTAGGGTTACTTGTTATTCTCCCTGTCCTCCTATTTTATAAATAATATATATTCATTCAACTTTTAAGAAACGGCTAGTCTACATGAGGTAAAAGTATACTTGATTGATAAAGAGAATACTGTGGAATAAAATAATAAAACGTTAAACCATGAACATCAGTGTGAACATTAGTTACATGAACAACCCTATGGCACCGAGAAATCCAGCAATCGTCTCGCGCATAGTTATCCCCGACGGGATTCGTACCGATGCAAGGTCATGCAAAAGGTGAGGTGGCGAGTGTATTTCTGAGTGCGCCACAGCGATGAGATTATATGTAATGCCTAGAAGGACAAAGTAGTATGTTGTATTTAAGTTAATTAACTGTGTTTAATAATCCTCTCATATAAAAAGGGTGATTTCAAAAACTGATCTTTTATTTTATTTTCCAGTTTGATAGCATTTTGGATCCTTTGCAGGGACCGCCAATAACAGAGAAATTTTTAAACAGTAGAATGAAAAGCGTACGAAGTTCGCATTCCATCGAATATATATATACTTATGTGATACTGATCGAGTGCAGAGATGACCAACCAGTTACTAGTTTAACTGTGATAAGCAAAAACTCACACACAATGAATCAAAGCCCCAGTTTATCATAAAATCAACTCTTACAAATTCAAAGCGCAGGGCTTTACCATCATTTCTCCTATCGTGTGATGCTTCTTTGCTCAGCGATTTCTAGCGCCGCCTTGTAGAAAGCATGTACGAAGACAGTGCTTTGTTGTAGAAACTAGCCTTTTGCATCCAATTTTCATCGTTTCAGAGATAATTGTTGTCTTTTTAAGAAATATATTTTTTTTTTCCGCATGCTGTGGATGTTTCTACTGCAAGTGGGTCTGAAATGCTTTGCAGACCCCGGTGGAGAAACACTGGCCTAAACAACTATTTATGGAATATAATGTACAGTGTACACCAACTCCTCACAAATTCAGATTGAAGACTTTAGATTGTTTTTCACTTCAGCAATACTATATTTGGAAAAATATATTAGATTTTAATAAATACATTATTCGAAAATTATTAAATAGAACTCTTGCAGGTAATTCAAATTCACTTACAAAATACCAAGAATTTGAAAATATTGTGGCCTATTATTTGGCTCAATATGATGGATGGAGTGATCTAGTGTGTACCAACAAGTGTGTCGCGAATGTTTCATACAGTTTTCGAAGTGATCGGGTAATTGTGGTATTACCATTACGTAACAATAATGAAACGAGAATATCGGTCGGAGACCGAAGACTTATCGATCGAAACTGCGGTTTCGATTCGTGACCTTATAGTGACACCGCGTGTCCCATCACTAATTAATAAATAACTCGCTAATTATACGACAATTTATCCAAAATCAATAGGCTTCTGGTCCGAGATATGATGAATGCACATGCAAAATTTGGAGCAGATTCAACCTCGCCTTCGTGAGATATCGCTTTCATCTGACAGACAAAAATGCTGACAGACAGACAAATACCTATCAACATGCTTACCGATCTTAAGATCGATAAGTGACAATGTGACAACTAGAATTATGCGTTGTGTCACGTTAGTAATTTCCCTAGGCCGCTACATGTTGGAAACTGTCGGTAAGCTCTTGTTTCTTGGCAGTATAGTAATTTCGTGTTGAACAGGTACTCCAATGACCAATGAGTTGCAATTTAAATACTGGCTAAGCATGGTTAATATACTTTATTTTAACAACCTAACTTTGTTTGATTTTTGTAAGCCACAAAATGATAATGTGGAAAAATGAAAATAATTTTTCAAAAAGAAAAGGTAGCAAAGTAAAAAAGTGAAGCTCGAAAAGTTGTAGTGAGAAAATATGACTCTGATTACATAAAATGTGGTTTCATTAAAGCAGGAAATGACTTTGAGCCAAAACACAATGTACTGAGTGTAAATGCTACGTTGCGTGCTAGTTTGCCTTCTATCAAGTCTCAACTTGATCTAAAATATTCAACATTCTAGCTCAAGTTTTGCATTAATAGTAAATTGCATGGGGATACATTGTTTCTTTTCTCATATATCGACATCTCATTGTGGGTCCCACAAGAAGTGGCAATAAAAGTGGATCGCAAATTGAAAAAGGTTGAGAAGCACTGGTCTAGCCCACCTGTTCGTGCACCCAACTCAGCATTTCAATCCAATTATATCAGCTTGGCGATATCCTATTAATAAATATCTTTCATTATTGTTCACTCTTGTTTACAAAATCGATACTCAATTTAGCAACTGTTATAAATTATTAATATGGTGGGGCAAAGAATTTTCATTTTGTTCATTTTTTGTTTTGTTTATCGCATTCTTCTACTTTTTAATATCTCCGTGGTTGGGTGTGTGTGTGTGCGTGCGAGTGTTTGTGCGTACTTCCTCTAAACATGGATGACCTCTTCGATGAAATGGCATTATTTAAAGTAAATGATCGCATAATTTGAAGTGCTAAATCGCGTTCATAATGCAAAATGACAATAAGCAAGTTCAAATCATAAGTGTTTAAATATTTCTCCAAATAGTTTCGTTCAAATTTCGTTGACAGCGTATATAAATTTTGGCCAACAGTGGTCAAAGTCGGCGAACATCCAGAACAATGGTTTTCCGTTTCTTCATATGTAAAGTTTAGCAGGTAATTAATTTAGAACTTGGGGATATGTGCCACAGCCCACAGACTCCTGTATTGAAATTTGCCAAAGTTGGCAACTCTACTAGTCATATAGACAGGTAAAGAATCCATAATTGATAACAAATTTATATCTGGGATAGATTCGGTTTAAGGCAAATAACTTAAGAGTAACTTAGAGCACAGTAACTTCTGTCTGTCAGCTATTCAAAGAAATTTTGCTTTCTATTTCCATGAAGACAAAGCAGGATTTTATTTACTTCTATACTGCGAGCCGTTAATAAAACTTGTTACTGTGGCAATATCTACAAATTGGTTTCGTTGTCACCCACATCACTGAAGCGTACTGAAATGCACTTCGAGGTCCCTCATCTCATTGAGTTAGGACGCCATCGATTTTTGAGCGACGTAGAGAAGATGATAACCAAAATGAACGACTAAATTGCCGCTTTTAAATCTTTTTTGGCTTTACCCAAAAACAGAATAAAACTAAGCTCCGAAAACTACAGTGTACAAATCATACTAAGCATTGATTAATTATTATAATATAATAATAGCGTTTATAATTATAATTCGACGACTCTACATTTGGTCACAAAAAATAACGGACTAGAGCATATGAGAAACCAAGAGCACTTATTTGCAAGCCCTACTTACGTAATATCAACTATCCAGTCAAGTACAACCGATCATCATACGCACATCAAGCTTAGCCCTATTGATGAAGTCATCATTAGAACCTGCTCAGGTTAAAATTACCAGTAGCAGTATATTATTTGAGAAGTATGCCGAAACCTCACTGATTTTTGAATACATTTACAAACTCTCGCTTTTACGTTGGGAAAGAAGTAATATACTTAAACTTTAAGTACCGTAATCAAAGAATTGTGATTGCCATGTTAAGCATACGACAATCAAAATCTGCATCGTGCAACAATGTTTGATGTCATTTGTAAAATTCTCATCAACATTGCGTATACGGTAAAACATCTCGAGACGTTACCAGACGTTACGTTACCAGAGTAATTACCCAAATCCCTTTTCGACCGTTTTCTGATGTGATTACAGGTAATTAATCATGTGATATCGCTAATTAGTTTGAATGTAGACATGCGTTTAGCTTTTCTCAACCAGTCACTGAGATACGTGAACGGTTTGTCTATTTTGCAGGATCATGGAATATTCAATGTAGTCGTTGATTCTTTTGACACAGCATTAAGGTAAGCAAATGTTTTTGATACATAAAATAGATATACAGTATGACGCCGCTGCTATAATTCTGCTCATGTTCTGTAAGTGGCGACTTATAAAATTGAAGGCTTCAATCTAATCAAGCTTTTAACGGTCGATAATCGTAGTGTTAATAATATAATCAGAATAATATAAGATGAGATGACAACCTCATATGAAATCTAATTTAAATTTAAAACCGAACTATGCCAAAGTTTGATTCTTAAGTAAAACAAAAATTTTAAAATATTCAGATAAGCATACGAAGTTAAACGTACTAATTACTTCGGGGTTGGTTACCCGAATAAGTGAGACTCGAAATATCGACCATGAACTGGAAAAAAGACTCACAAACACGGGACGATAGTCGATACACAGAGGTAAATATTACACGCTAATGTTGTACTATAGTTAATCAATACCGCTTATCTGGCAAGTATTTTACTGAAGGAGCATATAATCTCTGGTGTGAGCCTTCGATATAACCCGCCAAAACACTTTGGACTAGCAATATTTGCTATGTTACAATACTTTTTTATTCTAATTTTAAATAGACTTCATAAATCGAATCTGAGAAGTGTATGTTCACTACCAGGTCAGACGCCAAAATATAGGATATAGGACAAGCTGAAAGATATGTTCAAATGAAGTGCTGAATATTTACGTGGCCCGTATTTGGTAATCTTGGATCGTACTTTACTTTTGAAAATAAATTAGATTAGTTTTTAACTTTTTTCCAGTTTCTTTCCTTGTACTGGAGTGTAACGATTCGAAAAGCAGTGCGGCGAAAACTGATAATTAATTATATCATTCAGATCATAACTTTTTGAGATGAAAAATATCAAATTTCAAGTAGTCGCATTTGATATATACCTTTTGCATTTGTGTCACTTCAGATAATTCAATCAGAGTTAAACTGAACTATGAACTGCAGATTAGTCTCACTCTTTAATTTGTCGAATGTTTTTTGGGCTTTGACCTAATGTCTCCAAATTTCCTTAACTTTACCGGAGTAGATTGCCTCTGCCATATTACTTAACTGCAGCCGATGATTTATTAATATTTACTCTGCCAGCTCGTATTTATTCATTGTTTTTTGATTGTTTTGAAAATGCCGCCGGAATGTCATATGTTATTGTTTCATGAACTCATGATTGTGGGGAAAAAGTCATAATTATGAAATATAAAGGTATGTAACAAGTCATAAAATTATTAATGATCTGTATAATAAGAACAATAATGTTTCAACACGTGTTTACATTTCCTGTACGTTGACAATAGGTTCACGTAAGTTATTTAGGAGAATTCTTTTCATTTAGTTTGCAATAGCCAGCATTGTTGTATAGGTTTTTCCACTTTAATCTCAAATTCGAAACAGCGGGGTCAGATGATTCCTCAATGTTTTATTTTTTTGTGAAAACATTTTTTTCAAATTCTTTTTCAAGAATTCTATACATACAAGTATTAATTTTGTCAATGTATTGCAATAGTACGTTAGGTTTGTTATCCCAATTGACTAGCACATATAAAGTATGCTTTAAAATAAATTTTGTTTTACTCTTGTCAGAAGTGAAGTCTTGTTGAGTTTACCTTTCCTATTACAGATTTCTTTTGTTTCCAAGTAAATAAAAAATAAGAATCTAACTAAAAGCTTGTTATGAGTAATACAGATGGATTGTTTTCAATTTATTATATAAATCCATCAGAATAGTGTAATATATATTACATTTTTTTAATGACATAGCTCATTTTGCTACAATTACGAATTTTCAGAATAAACAAATGAAATTGAAACCGATTTTATTTTTCCAAAAGCCAACCAAGGTGAATTGGACTCGGACAGTGAATTTCACAAGTGCACGCCTTCCTATACTGTAGTATAAATTCAAATTTATAAGCGCTAAGCTAGAATCTGAGATGCGAAAACTTGAAAATACTTCGCCGAGGCTATTTTGCCTTTGTGACGTCACAATAGTCTTACGGTAACAATGATAATTCATTATGACGAAACAATTGCACAAATGTGCATGTCATACAAAATCTCCTATTTTATGGGCTTCGGAATTCTTAAAATCAAATCTGAGTTAACAGACAGGTGCGCAGCATTACATAAATACCTATTTTATAAAAAAAACTTCATATCGCCAAAAATGACTTACGCAATTCGGTTTGTAACAAATTAACCAATAATTTGGATAATGGAAGTCAAATTCTATATAATAATTGACGTAATCGAAATATTGAAGAGATCTTTCTAGTCTTTCTCGTGTATGAGAAAATGGATATTTTCCCATGTCGGGTGACCCATAAACAACCGAAATATTGAAGAGATCTTTCTAGACTAGATCATTCGAAATATTGAGTCTAGATCTTTCTCGTGTATGAGAAAATGGATATTTCCCATGTCAGGTAACCTATAAACAAGTGTAATTATTGTAAGAAGGGTACCGAACATTCTAGATATGAGCAAAAATTGCTCCGTGGGAAACGAGATTTTTGGATAATAAAGAAAGGTACCGTTTTTGGCGAGCGAGATGAAAAAGATGTTACCGTTTAAATAGACATTTGATCGTGGTTTTCCCGGCTTTTCTATTTCAATTCGTTCGATACAGCAACCGGCTTTTCTATTTCAATTCGTTCGATACAGCAACCGGCTTTTCTATTTCAATTCGTTCGATACAGCAACCGGCTTTTCTATTTCAATTCGTTCGATGCAACAATGCTAATTCATCACCGACTTGGTTTTCACGATTGAATGACCGTGTTTTACATGAATAATCAGTGTAAGAACGGTCTCGAATAATCGAGAAAATTGTGTATCCCTTTAAATGCGATCTCAAACCTTTCAAGCGATCGTCATCCTTATCGTCAAATATCAATAATTCTGATGATCGCTACGCTACTGTTATGAATAATAACTTGAAATTATTCATCACCAGAAGTCGTCTCGCTGATGACGCCGAATATCGAGATTATTATGGATTTTACTTAACAACCGTAAGTAAGTCTTTATATCTTATTACTTAGTATTGTTTTGGTGGTACGTTTTTTAATTTTGTCTTACTGTCATACTTATTGTAATTATGTACCTGTTATTGTTTTGGTGGTTTAATTTTGTTATGATAATTTTGTAACTGGTATTGCTTAGTGGGGTTTGGGCTATATTGGATAGATATTACGTAAGTTAAATTAGGGGTGAATCATTATAAATTACCACATATTACCCCAGAAATGTCAAAAGGTCGATTTGTTGACGAAAACGACCCACAATTCGGACTTCCAGATTTGGATATTTTTGAAACTAATTCAGTTAAATACGAAATAATTAATAAAGTGCATTGGCAAAGTTTTTCTCCAATAGAAATAAAACCAGCTCTATTCCGAATAATAAAGATACCAGTGCGAATCCCTACCTAATAGACATGTTTAGTAACGTACTTCATCATGTTGTTTAATTTTAAGTTTTTTTATATTCACTCTTTTTTATATTCACTCTATTTCTAAGATATAGTACTTTTCCATTTGTATATATATGATGTTACAGTTTGGCTTTCAATTTTGATGAATTAATGGTAGAAGAATTTGAATGTTTAAACTTTAAATGACTTTCGAGAGATTTATAATAACTGAAAGCTTGGCGGGAATTAACAACCCCTTTTTGATTGGATAGATTTCGTTATTACTAAAATGCCCTTGAAAGTAAATTCAGTGATTGAATGAGCTCCACGCTCGACTTAACAAAAATTAGACGAAAAACGTTATATTCTCCGAAAAAGCCCGAAGCTGGCATAACAAAACAAAAAAAAATGCGCTACTTCAACCCGACATGGGGCAAATATAGACCAACTAGGTTGCAAAATTGCATTAATGCGCTATTTCAACCCGACATGGGGCAAATATAGACCAACTAGGTCGCAAAATTGCAACAATGCGCTATTTCAACCCGACATGGGTAAATACAGACCAACTAGGTCAAAAATTGTAACAATGCGCCCAGAGGCACCCATGAGGATGACCAAATGGGGTCTATAGGATCTTTTTCAGATGAAAAAGTCAAGCTGGTAACGCGCAAACATTGACACGTAACAGAGCAAGAAGCTCAGTCGAGCAGCCAACTAGGCTTATGACTTGAGCTAAACACCAAGAAAATATTGAAGTGCCCAATTTCCACCAAATGGAGTGGCAATTTTTCGTCAATTCAACGTCTATTTTTCGCCAGTTTTTCAATTTATTTTCTCGTTGGTTTACCGTGTCATACGTAATCAAGAAAATATTGCAGTACTAATTTCCCACCATTTTATTGTTTCATTCCCGCCTTTTTTGTTCGTCCGATTTTCAGTGTCTTATATATTTTTGCCGTAGTTTTCTCGCAATTTTCAGTGTCTTATACATATATTCGCCTAATTTTCAACGTTTTATTTCTTGCCCATTTTAATGCAGTGGCCACTTCCCCACCACCTTATTGTCTCCATTTTTTGCCTATTTGTTGTTCAAAATACAGTCCGGCTGGAAAAACAAATTTTTCTCACAATCCCTCTAATTGCAATCACTAAAATATAAAAGGGCTACAAACAGTCATTATATAGATATATTGAAAAATTCGTATTGAAGATTGTTAATTATTTTTTTATAAATTTCAGTAATGCCTAAATGGATATAATCTTAAAATTCACAAACAAATTTAAAGTCGTGTGAGTGAGAGGAAGGTGATACATTGCTCTTACTTGTTCCACACATTTTGCACTCCAAAAACAAATATTACTTGAGGTGGACTATATAAACAAAATTATGTGTAGCAAAATCGCTACCCCTTGTCGTGTCTTTATTCAATTTTTGATCCCAGGCTTGATATTGTATTCAAGTTATTACAATCTGTCGCAAGTAACGTTTATGGTTTTAATTCTTGTATATGAACCTATCAATTGCTGTTTAAAACGACAGTCAAGAATTGTAGTTTATTAAAGAAAGTCAACGTGTTACGTGAGTTTGCTGATCACGCAGACATTTCGACGGCATTAACGTTGATGATACAAAATGTCGCAGACTCACAAACCGCTCTGTCCGCGAAATTACAGAGCCAAATCTTTAAATTGGAATGTGAGACCGAACGAATATTATCTAAAATTTATAGAGTTTTAGCGAAAACGTACCCGTCGGATGTGTTGAACGAAATTTTGGGAACAAATAATCTCTTTGCGGTTAACAGAGGCGACGTGCTGGGCACCCTTTTGTGTCAACCCATAAAAGCGAGTCTCTTAAATAGTCTAATATTACCTAACGAGTTATATTCTACTCGTCCCTTAGTTAACTATACTGATAACACTAACACTACAGTTATCGCCCAATACTTGTCTTCGGGAAGAATTCTTCCAGGTATAAACTTTTATAGTACCGAACCACAGGAGTTCGTTACCTTTAAAATGAATAACACTTATTATAGCTATCAAAAGGGAATTCTACAAAACAAAACTACAAACCCAAAGAAAATTCACCCTTACCTAACAACTAAGAAAATAAATCCTTACAATACAAATTATCTTACTTCATTGTCAAAATTTTTCAAGAACGACGTACCGCGTTCTAACGACATAGATTCAATGCTAATGTCCATAAGCCAGAATTCCATATTTACTAAAAGTCTAATTGACTATGCCAATTCTTTTAATGACGAACAGGAAACAACTAGTGCTAATCCTGCACGTCCCCTGAAAATACTAGCTAAACATATTAAAAAAATATTGATATCTTTTCTTAGTGGAATAGGCAATAAATTCCTTGCCATTGTAATACTGATCGGGCTAATTCTATCTATTATTTTTGCTTACGGCAGGACTGTAACTTTGGCTGGAAGTGGAATCCGAAGTTCTGTCGGGAGAAGAATAAGGGATAGAATCTTTGGGGGGCGTCCCTCTCCTCCCGACAGACGTACAAGCACTCGAGAGAACAGGAAGGCCCCAGATATCGACGTACTCGCTCCCGTGAACCGAACGGAAATCATTCCAGACGTACGCATGTCCACCACCAACCGAGAGTCACGCGTACCCCAGTAAGGGATAGATGGGACCGTCTCTGGTCGTCCCGTGGCGGAGCCAGAAGCCGAACCCCCATCGGCCAATCATCCACAGCTCGTCCTATGGCACCGGTGCAAAGAGCTCCCCCAGCAAACGAGAGGGCCAATGCTATGCAACACCTCAGAAGCAATGGTGGAAATGTCGAGGTCAAAAATCTCGTGTCGGATAGCGGAAGCGAATAAATAAAAATTTATAGCGCTCGCGGCGATAAACAAAACTTATGACCTGATAAAAGACAATGACAGGTTACATAATCAAGAAATTATAATCAAGAAAATAAATACCTTTTTTAACATTTTTTTTTTTGGATCCAAAGGCTCACAAGTTTTTTAAGCCTTATTTTTTTTCCCTCAATCATTTTTTTTCAACCAATGATTCCCCAAATGGAGTACTCCAATCATTTTTTTGTTTTCTCCACCAAGTTTTATCTCCAAATAAAGTGCACAAAGTTTTCACAAAAATTATCTTAATTCTTTCTGCAGTTCATTGAATTTATGAGATTAATAGGAAATATCACGGTACCGATGTCTCAAAATTAATTTTATTGTTGCATTCTTTTATTGGTTTTACAACGCTCGTCTATTTGTTGTATTTTTCAAATTTCATGACAAATTATTGTGTTTTACATCTAAATCTTCCCCCCCCATTTTTATTGCAAATGGTACAGACAATTAAATGTAGAATGAGTAGTACATACTAGTTGCAACACTGAACGTA